TCCTTAGCTGATTGATACAACTAAGGGAATTGCATTTTTGTTTGTTTGTAAAAATGTAAACAAGTATGGATGGAGTTGTTTTCTGAAACATTCAAGCAAACAAAATACATTAAATTCAATATTTATTTGTAATAAATTAGAAAGTCAACAAACATATAACAGGTAACATAACAAAACATCAATAAATAATTATCAATAAACTGACATTAACACAACACGGTGAATGTATAACCCTATATATATCACTTATCATTCACTTTGACACTATAATGGAATGGTGTTGAAGGCGATATGATGAATGAATCCTCTTTTTGCAAGATCTAGGAGATTAGAAGCTCTATGTGATGAATTATTCATGTTTGCAAGATCTATACTGCGTAATTGCTATGACAGAGAGAGAAATTTGAAAATTCTGGTGTCAGACGTTTGTATTTCTGTGATGGAATGTGAACAGAATGATAAAAAAAAAGCTAACATTTCAATTGGAAGTCGGAATAAACTACAGCAAAACACCCTGATAGTATAACACATCAGTAATTATCACATGATAGGGGATAACTATAATTTCATCAAATACGTTGTGTAGGAATTCAAGTCGATTATTTTTTCGATCAATTACTTGAAACAACGAACTACCCAAAATTCACATTTACACATATTCTCATATGCCACATAAATCAACATAATCACGGACAGAAGACTCTATTGGTAAATATCCTCTTACGGACAATCATATATTTGATTTACAAAAAAAAAAAAAATGCTTCTGTCACGCATGCAAATAGAGCATTTCTTCATTATTTATTCATTTAGAGGAGCTCATTCTTCTTCATCTAAGGGCGAGCTTCTAAGACTGGCTGGGCGAATAGGAATGTCTATGCGGCTGTTGACTACATCGTCGATCCAGTTAATGTAGCGGCTTACCTAGAAGGCAAAGGAATGGTTAAAATGGAATGTGGTCATTTCTCTCTCATTCTTTTTCTTTTTTCTTTTTTTTTCTTTTTGGGGGAGGGGTCTTTCTTTCATTATCTCTAGCTCGTACTGTTTTCCTTTCTCTCTCTCTTTCATAATTATCACCACCATCAAAATCAAGTCATAATCTTCATCATTTTCCTCCTCCTCCTCCTCTCTTTCTTTCCCTCTCCTTCGCACACGCAACCCTATCCTTACCTCGGTGTAGACTCCGGGCACATTGGGACGAGCGCAGCCAATACCCCAGGACACAATGCCGGCCAAATAGTAGCGGTTGTCAGCTCCACGGCAGGCGAAGGGACCACCAGAGTCACCCTGTAAAAAAAGAAGTCAATGAATAAACAGGTAAAATACGCGTGAGAGGAATAATGCATCGCATGCAGTGTTTAACATATAAACGTTAAAACTGTATAAGAAACTCGTACATTCGTAACTCTTCGTTTCATTTTAATCTTCCAGTCGATTCAGCTTTACATCATTTCGTGATAAAAGGATCTTCACGTTTACCAAATTCATCGAATTTTATAACAAGCTAACGTCCATACAAAACAACAAACTTATATTAACTTACCCCCCAAAACCAAGCAAACAAACAAAACAAGAACAAAATAGGAAAAAGGAGAAACAAATCCCGTTTTATGGCTTACCTGACAGGCGTCCTTCCCTCCGAATTCATGTCCTGCGCACATCATGGAGTCCACGACGGGTCCTGTGTACCCAATGACCCTGTAGGAATCCTCGCACTCCTGGTCACTGATGATGGGCACGATCACCTTCTGCAGGAGGTCGGCCGACTTGCCCCCTTCCCTTAGCTTGCCCCAGCCTGTCACCACGCAGTCTCCTGAAGAATGGGCAGGGGGAGGAACAGAGTGTTAGTGCCTTTTTCTTTCTTTATTAACCTCCAGGAGTCTTGGCTTTGAATTCACACTTCTTATGTTACATATATGTGTGTGTGTGTGTGTGTGTGTGTGTGTGTGTGTGTGTGTGTGTGTGTGTGTGTGTGTGTGTGTGTATGTGTGTGTGTGTGTGTGTGTGTATATATATATATATATGCATATATATATATATATATGTATGTGTATATATATATGCATATATATATATATATATATATATATATATATATACATAATCTATATCTATATATATATATATATATATATATATATATATATACATATATGAACACACACACATGTATATGTGTGTGTGTGTGTGTGTGTGTGTGTGTGTGTGTGTGTGTGTGTGTGTGTGTGTGTGTGTGTGTGTGTGTGTGTGTGTGTGTGTATGTATATATATATAAATATATATATATATATATATATATATATATATATATATATATATATATATATGCATATATATATATGTATGTGTATATATATGCATATATATATATATATATATATATATATATATATATATATATATATATATATATACATATATATATAATCTATATCTATATCTATATCTATATATATATATATATATATATATATATATATATATATATATATATATATAT